AAAATAGAAGATTTATGTTATACAGACTACTGCATTCGTGTAGAAATGTTGTAGAAATTTTATAAATAATATCAGGGCACTTGTGAAAGAATATTACACTCACCAGTTGATGTGTATTGGACGCGTGGCATGATTTGTTTACCTTTGAACTTTGGCAAAAATCGAACATTTCTGCTACTCTGAGCTCAATTTCAAGGTACTTTTCATTGTGAAACCAATCAAAATCATTTCAATTTCCATAATATGTCTTCCATTCTTTAAAATGAAACCAGGAAAACTAGAATACAACCATAAATAGCTTATGAAAATACACTGCAAAGTCGCTGTTTTAAACCAAAAACACAGTCCTAGTTTTTTTTTCTCATTATGCACTGTGTGCTGCAGGATTTTTTTTTATACTGTGCGCACTGACCACATAGACCCATTCTTTCATATGTAGGCCTACCACCTTTCTCTCGCTAGATTTGAAGGTGCTAGAATTTAGGCATACTAGTACGGCACCAACCCTGGCGTGCAAACCGTACTAGTATGGCACCAACCCTGAAAAGGTTAACAATTTTGTTATTCATACCATTTGCCCCATAGGAGTGTATATCATTTGAATTGCATAGTTATACTTATGTTTGGATGAATCACCCACATGTCATGGGTTTTATTGGTAATTCCAGTCAAATTTCACCCTTTGCTATTAGCTGCAGCTAATGTAATTAGGTGTGGGTATGGCTAGACTTTGATAGATATTGGCAGTTTGGAGGGATATTGTTGTGTATCTTTATACGTATATGCTTCTAAACTGTTGTGTTCTGAGCACCTCTGCAAAAACAGTGATTATGTGTGAGTGAGGTGAAAGTGTTGAATGATGACAAAAGTATTTTTTGGGGGGGGGGGATTTTCTTTCTTTTGGGTCACCCTGCCTTGGTGGGAGATGGCCGACTTGTTAAAAAAAAAAAAAATGGCTAGACTTACCTAGGTATTGTAACTGACCCAATTTCCCCTAGTTTGTGGTAGGGATAGTATATCCCAGTATCATTGTCAGGAGTAGGCTGCTACAGATGCATAGTTATGTCCTCACTCATTGATAGGAGTCACTTCGGTCATAACACTTGAATACATACAGCGGCATAAACTTTTATACTTTATTGAGATTGTAGCACGGATTATAAATGAGTGTATAATCCGTGCTAGTTTTCCTAGTGGAGATTGACAGTATTTCAGAGTTTACCGCACAAAGTCATTATTTTCTTTGTTCTCAGCAGGAAATTTGTGAGGTGTTTACGCACTCATTTCTGAATTCAACCTAGCTTGTTGCCTTGCCCAAGCGCCCATCGGTCACCCTCCGCACAAAAGAACTGTTGAGTTCAGCTTTATATTTTCCTTACTACACATTGCAAGGTATTTAATACAAGCAGGTAGGTTTCTTGTCATCTGTCTAAAGACTAGAATTCCTAATAGTCCCAACTTGTAGATAAAGTGAGGCACAGGGTTCACCTTAATTTTTGTGCTACGGAGAAAGAGTAATTACTCTCGCTTAACTTCATTGTGTAGTTGATCAGGAACTCTAGCAAGGAGAGGAAGGCGTGCCTCGTGATGCTATGGTACGTACATATGTTTCTCATTAACCCTTTCAGGGTCAGCAGGGCCTTTCCTAAACTTGTTCTCAGGGTCGGAAATTTAAAAAAAAAATAATAATAATTTTTTTCTTATGAAATGATAGAGAATCTTTTCCCAATCATAATGACACCAAAAGTATTAAATTTGATGGAAAACTTACTGAGTTATGCTCTCATGAAGTTAGTGGTCTCGACGATGTTTACGCATCGGCAATTTCGCCCACTTTGAGCTCTATTTTCGGCCAGTTCCAATGTACCAGTCGACAAAAATCATACCTATTTTGCTAGAACTCCTTTTTTTTCTGTCGAATGAGTACAAGAAACCACCCATTTACCAATCTCGACTATCCAGTAACGTGGTCAGAAATTTGCAATTTAGCCAATTTCACACAAATTTCAAAAGATGCCAATTTCCAAATAGGGCCCAGAATAAACAAGACACACACGGACATCCCTGGCACTAAAATAACATTTCCTCTGTTCATTACTCACGTCCCCAGGCCTCTGTTACATTTCTTTTACTTTCCACTTGGAGTTTTTATTCTCACAAAAATAGAAGATTTGTGTTATGCAGACTATTACATTCGTGTAAAAATGTTGTAGAACTTGTATAAATAATATCAGGGTACTTTTAAAAGAATATTACACTCGCCAGTTGACGTGTATTGGACGCGTGGTATGATTTGTTTACCTTTGAACTTTGGCAAAAATCAAACATTTCTGCTAATTTGAGCTCAATTTCAAGGTTCTTTTCATTGTGAAACCAATCATAGTCATCTCAATTTCCATAATATGTCTTCCATTCTATAAAATGAGACCAGGAAAACTAGAATACAACCATAAATTGCACACGAAAATACACTGCAAAGTCACTGTTTTAATCCAAAAACACAGTTGGAGTTTTTTTTTCTCATTATGCACTGTGTGCTGCATGTTTTTTTTTATACCACGCACACTGACCACATAGACCCATTCTTTCATATGTAGGCCTACCAGCTTTCTCTCGCTAGATTTGAAGGTGCTAGAATTTATGCGTACTAGTACGGCACCAACCCTGGCGTGCAAGCCGTACTAGTATGGCACCAACCCTGAAAGGGTTAAGCTGTTTGCAAAGAAGGAAGAGTCCACTAACCCCTTCCGGGAGGGCTAAATCCCTGAGAGGGCTGAGAAATACCCCCTTTACTGGAGAATTTTCTCCACAACATTTTTTAGGAGTGAAGAAGAGCTGGGTGTGAGTGTGGGGGAGGTGCATGAGGCATTGGGTAGAATAAAGGGGGTAAAGCAGCTGAAACTGATGGGATCTTGACAGAAATGTTAAAAGCAGAGAAGAGTGGTTGGTACGTACTTTTATTCAGTGAATGTATAAAAGAACGAAAGGTACCTAGGGATTAGCAGAGAGCATATATAGTTATTTTATATAAAAAGAAAGTGAACAAAAGAGTGTAAAAATTATAGGGAAATAAGTTGACTGAGTATACCAGGTAAAGTGTATGGTAGGGTTATTACTGAAATAATTAGAGTTTAAACAGAGAGCAGGATTGCAGATGAACAAGGAAGCTTTAGAATGGGTAAGGGATGTGTTGATCAAGTGTTTACAATGAAGCATATATATGAACAGTATTTAGATAAAGTTAGGGAAGTTTTTGTTGCATTAACCCTTTGACTGCTTCGGTTGTATATAAACCGTGTTTGACGTATACATACTCATAAATTCTAGCGGCTTCAAATCAAGCAGGAGAAAGCTGGTAGGCCCACATGTGAGAGAATGGGTCTGTATGCACCATATAAAGAAAATCCTGCAGCACGCAGTGCATAATGAGATAAAAAAAAGTTCCAGCCTTTTTTTTTTTAATTAAAATGCCGACTTTGGGGTCTATTTTCATATAGTATTTATGGTTGTATTCTCATTTTCTTGGTTTCATTTGATAGAATGGAAAACATATTATAGAAATAGAGGAGATTTTGATTGGTTTTGCTATAAAAAGAACCTTGAAATGGGGCTCAAAGTAGGGGAAATGTTTGATTTTTGCCAATGTTCTAAAGTAAACAAGTGATGTCATTTTCCAATAAATGTCCAAGTAGCCATTCTAATATGCAGTCATGAATGGGTTGACATTATTTATACAATTATTACAATATTGCAGTAGTCTGCCTAACAGTAAATCTTCTATGTTTTGTTTGAATAAAAATTCAAAATAGAAAGCAAGAGTAATATCAGAGGGGCCTGGAGACGTGACTGATGAACAAAGAAAATGTTCTTTTAGAGCCAGGAATGTCTGCATTGTTCATTCTGGACCTTATTTTGAAATTGTCACATATTTTAATTTTCGTGAAATTCGCCAAATTGCAAATTTCAGACCACGTTATTGGGTAGTTGAAATCAGTAAATGGGCAGTTTCTTGTATTCAATCGATAGAAAAAATGGAGTTCTAAAGAAATAGCTTTGAGTTTGGTCGACTGGAACAATGGAATTAGCTAAAAATAGGGCTCAAAGTGGGCAAAATCGCCGATTTGTAAATATTGCTGAGGTCGCTAACTTTGCGAGAGCATAATTCAGTCAGTTTTCCATCAAATTTCATTCTTTTGGTGTCATTACAATCAGGAACAGATTTTCTATCATTTCATAAGAAAAAAATTTTTTTTTTTTTTTTTTGGAAATTTTACGACACCAGGAGACACCTCAGGATTGGGGGTTGTGACAGTCAAGGGGTTAATGGATTTAGAAAGGCTTATGATCTGTGATCTCTAACACGACAGTAAAGAGCATTATTAGTTTTTCCTCTAAGTACTTTAGCTGAACAAATTGTCTGTTGTCATCGTCGTCGTCATTGTCGTCGTTAATATAATTATTGTTTGTAGCCTAGAAACAGGGACCACTATTCATACACATTTCTGTAACTTCATCATGATCCATTTATAAATACTGTACGTGAACATTGCTGTAATACCACAGTGTCAAAAATTACAAGAAACTGGTATAAGTGTACCATGATGTTATAAACACCAGCACTTTAATTTTTCACAGCAAGTACTGAGCTACGAGAAACAGTTTTTTTTTCACAGTAACAGCCAGTGACACAACCACTGGAGGGGAAGGACCAGATGCCAATGCTTTCTTTATTTTTTCAGTTAATTATTTATTCAACTAATGTTTAACTTTCATTGTATTATATTGACCACTTATCACAAAGACTCTATATTTAAAGAAATTTCACATATAAATAAAAAATGTGTTTTTTAAATAAATTACGTAGAGTTTTCAGATTGAAATCATGGCTGTGTTACTGATGGCAGCCTCCAACTTAACTTTTTTACTACTGGGTTCTGTTTGTTTAAAAGTTCAGTATCCATGTATCCACTTGACTAGTTGTTTTTATTGTTGGGTTGCAGGTTGTCACTGGGTGTGCCAGCAAGCAAGGTTCCAATAGCTAACATGTCTCCCAAGGCTGACGTCACCGAGCTGGAACCTTTCTACTATGGCCAAATTCAAGGTGATGCCTCTCTGGGACGTGAAGTCAACCTACATACCTTCACTTGCCATATTTGTAATGTAAGTGCATGATCATTCAACAAGAAATCGTTTCTATCATCCTTAATTTATTGAAATTGTTCTAGCAAAAGATTTTTTGGTTAAAAAACATTAGAGTGAAAGTGAATTCAGTGAGCTGTAGGGCAGTTCAGTCAGACTTTCCTCTGGAGAGAAATGCTTCATTTGTAGGGGACATTCAATTTTAATATCATAATATTTCATACAGTAGTTAAATTATGTACATCTATCTATCTTTGGTCTGTTTTTTACAGGAAGTTTATGATAATAATTTGGAGTTTTACACTCACTTGAAATTCCATCTTTGGTGCTCCTCTGATCCTAAGTACAAATTCTGCTGCGCCTATTGTACTGAACATTTTGAAACTTCAGATAAGAGGGATTATCACCATAAAATTGTAAGTACAGTATAACACATTTTAAGATTAGTGGGAGGTTGATAATGTGATATTGACAGTGTTGTAGGAACAGTTTGTATACTGTAAAGTAAAGTAAAGTTTATTTCTTTGTAAAGGTTAAAATGTGTAATTACAGTTTTGATTTGATGTGTAATTACAGTTTTAATTTTGGGCAAATTAATCCTAATACTTTTCTTTCAACACACTGGCCGTATCCCACCGAGGTGGGGTGGCCCAAAAGGGAAAACGAAAGTTTCTCCTTGTACATTTAGTAATATATACAGGAGAAGGGGTTACTAGCCCCTTGCTCCCTAATCCTAATACATAGTAACTAATTAAAACTAGATAAGATAATAGTACATGGTAACTATACTTAAAATTAGACAAGTAATAAGGAAGGTGGCATAGGGGTCAGCCTAGGAAAGGTTGGAGGGAGGGGGTAAAGGAGGTTTTGTGTGCGAGGGGCTTGGACTTCCAGCAGGCATGCGTGAGCGTGTTTGATAGGAGTGAATGGAGACGAATGGTTTTTAATACTTGACGTGCTGTTGGAGTGTGAGCAAAGTAACATTTATGAAGGGATTCAGGGAAACCGGCAGGCCGGACGTGAGTCCTGGAGATGGGAAGTACAGTGCCTGCACTCTGAAGGAGGGGTGTTAATGTTGCAGTTTAAAAACTGTAGTGTAAGGTACCCTTCTGGCAAGACAGTGATGGAGTGAATGATGGTGAAAGTTTTTCTTTTTCGGGCCACCCTGCCTTGGTGGGATATGGCTGGTTTGTTGAAAAAAAATACAGTGGACCCCCGCATACCGATTTTAATCCGTGCAAGAGGGCTCATTGTTATGCGAAATAATCGGTATGCGAATGAATTTTCCCCATAAGAAATAATGGAAATCAAATTAATCTGTGCAAGACACCCAAAAGTATGAAAAAAAAATTTTTACCACATGAAATATACATTTTCCTACACACAAAGAGAAGGATACATGCACAATAGTAGAGTAGTACATGCACAGTATATATTGTGCATGTACTAGTCTACTAAATGAAGAATAAATGACACTTACCTTTATTGAAGATGCAGCAATGACTGATGAGACACTGTGTCCTGGGAGTGCCTTTTCCTCCTGAGTACTGTAGGTCCTGTTTGGCATTTTCTTCCAGAACAGGCCTTATCACACTGTGTATGTCACTACGATTCTTAAATCTCTCAAACCAACCTTTGCTGGCTTTAAATTCACCAATATGAGCACTAGTTCCAGGCATTTTTCCCTGTTCACCTGGGTGTTAGTCGACTGGTGTGGGTTGCATCCTGGGAGACAAGATTAAGGACCCCAATGGAAATAAGTTAGACAGACAGTCTTCGATGACACTGACTTTTTTGGGTTATCCTGGGTGGAAAATCCTCTGGGGTTAATTGTTTCTTGGTATATTCTCAATAAGCCACACCAACAACAGTGCTACAGCAGCAGCAGACGATGCTACAGCAGCAGCAGACGATGCTACAGCAGCAGCAGCAGCTGACAGTGCTACAGCAGCAGCAGACGATGCTACAGCAGCAGCAGCAGCTGACAGTGCTACAGCAGCAGCAGACGATGCTACAGTAGCAGCAGACGATGCTACAGCAGCAACAGACGATGCTACAGCAGCAGCAGCAGCTGACAGTGCTACAGCAGCAGCAGACGATGCTACAGCAGCAGCAGACGATGCTACAGCAGCAGCAGCAGCTGACAGTGCAGCAGCAGCAGCAGCTGTACCACCAATAGTAGCGATGGTTGATTGGGGTTCATTATACAACCTGGCCAGCTTGGAGACACGCACTCCACTTTCATACTTATCAATGATCTTTTTCTTCATCTCTATAGTAATTCTCACCCTTATTGCTGTAGGGTTGGCACTAGAAGTTTTCTTGGGGCCCATGGTCACTTATTTTCCAGATAAAATCACCAAAAACACTGTAATAATACGAAATGTTACGATTGTATGCTTGGATGCTACCGCGGAGGCTGGCTGGTAAACAATGCCACCGGCGGAACATGTGAGGCTGGCTAAGGCGCACATTGGACGCGTCTCGGACGAACAGCGGTGAGCGGGTTTTTGAGCCGTATGCGAGGCAAAATTTTTGCGATTAAAGTGAGCGGTATGCGGAATAAACGGTATGTGATGCCAACGGTATGTGGGGGTCCACTGTATATATATATATATATATATATATATATATATATAAAATAACTTTAAAACACTTGAAATTTTGGAAAGTTTCCAGATATAATGGAGAGTCGTGCTCACGGAGAACATGAACAAACCAGGTGGCCCACAGTGATTATATTAGAAAGTCAGGTGGGGGGGGGGGAGCTGTATAGTGTGTTACTTTCATAATTTCAAATGTCTGTATTAGCGGAATGCCGTAAGGTGGGGCCCTGCTGTACAAACTTATATCTACACACCCCTCTGGTTTTCTTCTATTTTCTTAATAGTTCTTGTTTATTTCCTCTTTTCTCCATGTTGAAGTGGAACAGAATTCTTCCTTCGTAAACCTTGCGTTTCATAAGAGGTGACTAAAATGCCAGGTGGAAGGGGCTAGTAACTCTTTCTGTATAAATTACTAAATTTAAAATAAGGAACATTCATTTTTCTTTTTTGGTCACCCTGCCTAGGTGGGATGCAGCCTGTTTATTGAAAAAAAAAAATTTACATTTTGTGACATTTAAAATTACATATATTTTTTATTCAGCGGCACATGCAGATGGATTCCAGATACACCTGGTGCAGAATATGTTCTGAGTACTTCCCTGGAGAGTACCAGCTGGTTAATCACATGGCCAAGAAGCATTATGAGAGTGAGCTGCCTTATCGATGTGATGTATGTCACTTTGCAACCTCAATTTATTTCAGTGTCATTGACCACTTCAATAAAGTAAGTACTTACAACTTTTTATCAATTAATTGAGAATGCTTTATTAGGGCATTTTATTGGAAATATTTCATTAAAATGTTTGACAGAGAATATGAAGGTGTTTGATAGAGAATATTAAGCTATTTCATGCAGAATATTAAGATGTTAGGCAGATAAATTTAAGATGTTAGGCAGAGAATATTAAGATATTTCATGCTGAATGTTAAGATAATTCATGCAGAATATTAAAATGTTAGGCAGAGATTATTAACCCTTTAAGGCCCCTTGTCATAGTGTCACAGCTTTGAGCTCAGGGTCTATCATGTAGTACTACGTCATGAGCTCATCTCACTCAAATAAGCTGTGAGCGATAAATTTGGGCCTAGATATGAGAGAATGTGTCTGTGTGGTGAGGGTGGACCATATAAATAAAATCCTTCCTCATGCAGTGCATGTTGGGAAAAACAAAACTGTGACCATGGTTTAAAATAGCAACATTTTGGTGTATTTTTTGGATTGTTTTTATTGTTTTATTCTCAGTTTTTGGTATCATTTGGTAAATATAAAACATATTGATAAAACAGAGATGATTTGGTTTGGTTCAGGACTTGCATTAGCTTGAAAATGAACTCAAACTAGCAAAAATATTTTATTTTTTTTGTCAGTATTTCAGAGGATGGGTGATCCCCCCCCCCCCCCCAAAAAAAAAAAAAAACAGTGTTTTATAGGGATTTTATTAGGTCTGATTCAGTTATTGGAATGCTGTTAACCATGAACAATCTTTCCTGGTTATATAGTGTTATCCAAGAAATTGAGTAGATCTTTTATTTTTTGTGTGAATAAGAATTCAAAATGGAAAGCAACTGTAATACAGAAGAGCGCTGGGGATGTGATTAATGAAAAGAAGAAATGTTTGAGTGCCAGTAATGTCTTCATTGTTTATTATGGGCTCTATTTTAAAATTGGCATTTTGTTTAATTTTGTGTAAAATTAGCCAAATTACTGAATTTTGACCACTATATTGGTTAATTGAAATTGTTGAATGGGCAGTTTCTTGTGCTCAGTCGGTAAAACGGAAGTCATGCTAGTGAAATAGCTCAGAATTTGACCAACTGGAATAATGGAATTGGCCTAAAATAGGACTTAAAGTGGGCAAAATTGCCAGTGTGTAATTGCTCCAAGACTGTTAAATTTGTAATCCCATAAGTTTTCCATGAAATTTTGTACTATTGGTATCATTTCCTTAGAAAAAGATTTTCTACCATTTCCAAAGATTTTTTTTTGGGGGGGGGGGGGGGGTAAATTTTCAGACATTAGCCCCTAAATGGTCCAAACGTATGCATATGTTCTTACCGCTCGTGCCCCAAATGTATATACACGTTTTAATTTTCCTGCCTCCAAATTTGGCACCATTGGCCTGAGATGCCTGGTCAGCACAGAATGGGTCTTAACACTCAGTGTGCACCATATTAACCCCTTGACTGTCGCAGTCGCATATATACGTCATAGGAGATACCGTGTTTGACGTATCTATATGCATAAATTCTAGCGGCTTCAAATCAAGCAGGAGAAAGCTGGTAGGCCCACATGTGAGAGAATGGGTCTCCATGGTCAGTGTGCACCAAGAATGTAGTATAACCTATGCCCTAAGTAAAGAGAAACAACTCTGCAACATGCGTAATACGTATCCGTCCGTCCGTCCGTCCGTCCATCCGTCCGTCCGGCCGGCCAGACGGACGGACGGATACGTATTACACATGTTGCAGAGTTGTTTCTCTTTACTTAGGGCATAGGTTATACTACATTCTTGCAGGATGACACTACCAGTGGTATTCTCCCATTCCACTGTGTCGACAATACTTAAAGATACAGTAACATATGATACTGTATGTGATGTAAAATTTACAATACAGTTCACTACCATGTATACATAATATACAATACATAAATAATTAAAATGTATCAATAGAAGTAAATTATAGTAAAAAGAATGAAATAATGATTGTATATTACATTACAGTACTATGTAGGTAGTTTATATAGCAAAGGTTTGACATTATGCCAGTATGCATACCTAAATAATGTAAATTAGAGTCAAATTCCTCTATACTGTTTATTTAAAAATATACCAGAAATGTTATAAATGGTGTAGAGGTGACATTGAAACAATATCAGAGATGGTTGACACAAACACACTACCATTATAGTATGTTTTTCACTTAGCAACAAATTCATTTACTGTCATGATCTTAGGAACGGAACTCCAGCGTTAAGTGAAGAGAGGCTGTATATAATAAGGGTTGGCTCAGTGCCAAGTGTCTTTCTGCCATATTTGACAGCAATACCTCTTAGCTTTCATTACATATATAGAATTTTTCTTTGTCTATTTCTTAAAAGTGGAGTAAACTCAAGATTACAGCTTGACTGATTAATAAAAATCTGTTTGGTTATTACAGTATAAACTTTATTTGGATGAGGTACTTATAGTGTGGTTGGTGAGAGGCTTTATGTATATGTGTATTACAGGAACACAAGGATACACCATACGTACAGTGCCACTTCTGCCTCAACGTTAAGTTCATCACTGCTGCATCTGCTAGTACTTTCTCTCAACGCATGTTCCAGCATTTGCAGGTGTGTGTATTTTCCTATCATAATCACCTGCACGTAATTTACTTTCTCGTGTAATAATACTTGTATAGAACACTTATTTATGAATGTCTGAGTTATGAACATTCTCACTAACAAGTGGAGTATTTGGGAACTAATTAATTTCTCAGCAGTGCCAATCTGCACACACAGACATTTCAAAAATTCCAAATGCAATTATTTTTGATCGACTTTTTTTTTTCTTTTTTTTTTCACCAGGCTCATAATTTGTGTTCATATTTTGCGTGTGTGGAGGACTGATATTTATTTGGTGTAGATAACTTTTTGCCACTTAAGCAGCTAATTTATTATGCACTGCCATGTGCATCCTGTGGACGGTTGTGCATGATGTGGATTTACAAAAGACCTTGGAACTAGGCCAGTAGTGGGTCACGAGACATTCATCTAGATTAGCTACCGTTCTTCTCTAGGCTAATAAGATCACTGGCTGGAAGCAGATACCTTTTTGTCTTAGCTTACCCTAGTTTCAAACCAGGAAGCATTTGCTTTTGTGCTGACTTCACTACAAGTTACTCATTTGATATACAGTGGAACCTCTACTTACGAATTCAATCCGTTTCGTGACCTTGCTCATATCCCGATTTGCTCTTATGCTGAGTCAATTTTCCTTATTTAAATTAATTGATATGCAATTAATCCATTCTGGATCTCAGGAAGCACGACAAAATATACTTCAGTGTTTTGCTAATATCAACTCTACAGCATTGGACACAGAATCTGTTTGGCTACAGTTTCTCGAGGGTCGTGAAAAGTTAATTTTCGGTGTGATTTATAGGACCCCAAACCTTACAGAGAGTGCAGTAAGCTGCTATGGGACATAAGGCATCTAGATATGAAAATGTGTTAATGGGAGATTTTAACTTAAGACACATTAATTGGAACAGTGTGACAGGAAATCTTGAGTCTAGTGACTTTCTTGATACAGTTCAGGATTGCTTTTTAAAACAGTTTGTGACAGAACAAACTAGAGGAAACAATCTGCTTGACTTGGTTCTTGCCAACAAAGAATCACTAATTAATAATCTTGAGGTTAATGATGAGCTTGGGGAAAGCATTCACAAATCACTTAGTTTCAATATATCATGGAATTACCCAGATAATTGCAATCAAATCTCTGTCCCAGACTTCCGCTTGGCCGATTTCATGGCACTGAGAAATTACCTGGGTGGGCTAAATTAGGATGAACTGATTGTGGGTCAGGTTGGTGGTGTTGGTTGCCAATATGACATTTTTCAGAGCATAGTTCTAGCTGCCCAGACAACTTTTGTTCCGAGTAGGAAAATTAGATCTAACAAAAATGATTACAAATGTATGAACAATAGGTTAAAACTTCTCATTGGTCAAAAGAGAGGCATATACAGGTGTGTCAAAAGAGGGGATGGGCAGTTCAGAAATCAATATGTTCAGTTAAAGAGAGAAATAAAAAAAGGAATAAGAAAAGCTAAAAGGGATTATGAGGCTAAGGTCGCAAGGGACTCGAAGACTAACACAGAAGCGTTCATTCAGGTATACAGAAGTAAGATTAGGGACAAGATAGGCTCACTTAAGAGTAACACAGGTCAGATCACTGACAGTGATAAGGATATGTGTGAAATTTTCAATACTTATTTCCTCTCAGTTTTTACCCAGGAAGATACTAATGAAATTCCAGAAATAATAAATTATGTAGAATTTTTTTTTTTTATTAACACACTGGCCGATTCCCACCAAGGCAGGGTAGCCCGAAAAAGAAAAACTTTCACCATCATTCACTCCATCACTGTCTTGCCAGAAGGGTGCTTTACACTACAGTTTTTAAACTGCAACATTAACACCCCTCCTTCAGAGTGCAGGCACTGTACTTCCCATCTCCAGGACTCAAGTCCGGCCTGCCGGTTTCCCTGAATCCCTTCATAAATGTTACTTTGCTCACACTCCAACAGCACGTCAAGTATTAAAAACCATTTGTCTCCATTCACTCCTATCAAACACGCTCACGCATGCCTGCTGGAAATCCAAGCCCCTCTCACACAAAACCTCCTTTACCCCCTCCCTCCAACCTTTCCTAGGCCGACCCCTACCCCGCCTTCCTTCCACTACAGACTGATACACTCTTGAAGTCATTCTGTTTCGCTCCATTCTCTACATGTCTGAACCATCTCAACAACCCTTCCTCAGCCCTCTGAACAACAGTTTTGGCAATCCCGCACCTCCTTCTAACTTCCAAACTACGAATTCTCTGCATTATATTCACACCACACATTGCCCTCAGACATGGCATCTCCACTGCCTCCAGCCTTCTCCTCGCTGCAACATTCATCGCCCATGCTTCACACCCATATAAGAGCGTTGGTAAAACTATACTCTCATACATTCCCCTCTTTGCCTCCAAGGACAAAGTTCTTTGTCTCCACAGACTCCTAAGTGTCACCACTCACCTTTTTCTCTTCGTCAGTTCTATGATTCACCTCATCTTTCATGGACCCATCCGCTGACACGTCCACTCCCAAATATCTAAATACATTCACCTCCTCCATACTCTCTCCCTCCAATCTGATATCCAATCTTTCATCACCTAATCTTTTTGTTATCCTCATAACCTTACTCTTTTGTGTATTCACTTTTAAATTTCTTCTTTTGCATACCCTACCAAATTCATCCACCAACTCTGCAACTTCTCTTCAGAATCTCCCAAGAGCACAGTGTCATCAGCAAAGAGCAACTGTGACAACTCCCAATTTATGTGTGATTATTTATCTTTTAACTCCACGCCTCTTGCCAAGACCCTCGCATTTACTTCTCTTACAACCCCATCTATAAATATATTAAACAACCACGGTGACATCACACATCCTTGTCTAAGGCCTACTTTTACTGGGAAATAATCTCCCTCTTTCTTACATATCTAACTTGAGCCTGACTATCCTCGTAAAAACTCTTCACTGCTTTCGGTAACCTACCTCCTACACCATACACCTGCAACATCTGACACATTGCCCCCCTATCCACCCTGTCATACGCCTTTTCCAAATCCATAAATGCCACAAAAAACCTCTATTAGTCCTTATCTTAAATACATGTTCACTCTTTATTGCTTCCTATACTGTAAACACCCTGGTTTAAACACTAACCCTACCATTTCCTAAAAAGCCTCCTTGTTCTAACTCTGCTATCCTAATTCTCCGTCTTACTCTTAATTCTTTCAATAATAACTCTACCATACACTTTACCAGGTATACTCAACAGACTTATCCCCATATAATTTTTGCACTCTTTTTTTTTTTTTTTTTTTTTTTTTTTTGTCCCCTTTGCCTTTATACAAAGAAACTATGCATGCTCTCTGCCAATCCCTAGGTACCGTACCCTCTTCCATACATTTATTAACTAATTGCACCAACCACTCCAAAACTATATCCCCACCTGCTTTTAACATTTCTATCTTTATCCCATCAGTCCCGGATGCCTTACCCCCTTTCGTTTTACCTACTGCCTCACGAACTTCCACCACACTCACAACTGGCTCTTCCTCACTCCTGCAAGATGTTATTCCTCCTTGCTCTATACACGAAATCACAGCTTCCCTATCTTCATCAACATTTAACAATTCCTCAAAATATTCCCTCCATCTTCCCAATACCTCTAACTCTCCATTTAATAACTCTCCTCTCCTATTTTTAACTGACAAATCCATTTGTTCTCTAGGCTTCCTTAACTTGTTAATCTCACTCCAAAACTTTTTCTTATTTTCAACAAAATTTGTTGATAACATCTCACCCACTCTCTCATTTGCTCTCTTTTTACATTGCCTCACCACTCTCTTAACCTCTCTCTTTTTCTCCATATACACTTCCCTCCTTGCATCACTTCTACTTTGTAAAAAACTTCTCATATGCTAACTTTTTCTCCCTTACTACTCTCTTTACATCATCATTCCACCAATCGCTCCTCTTCCCTCCCGCATCCACTTTCCTGTAACCACAAACTTCTGCTGAACACACTAACACTACATTTTTAAACCTACCCCATACCTCTTCGACCCCATTGCCTATGCTCTCATTAGCCCATCTATCCTCCAATAGCTGTTTATACCTTCACCTCTCTCTTCCCTGATGCTTCTATTCTCCTTGTATCCCATCTACCTTTTACTCTCAGTGTAGCTACAATGAAAAAGTGATCTGATATATCTGTGGCCCCCCATATAAACATGTGCATCCTGAAGTCTACTCAACAGTCTTTTATCTACCAATACATAATCCACCAAACTACTGTCATTTCGGCCTACATCATATCTTGTATACTATTTATCCTCTTTTTTCTAAAAATATGTATTACCTATAACTAAACCCCTTTCTATACAAAGTTCAATCAAAGGGCTCCCATTATCATTTACACCTGGCACCCCAAACTTACCTACCACACCCTATAATAAACTATGCACGATTGCAGTAACTTGTGACATGGTCCTCAGACAAATAGAGAAATTAAAACCTAACCAAGTCCCCGGGCCTTGATGAATTGTTTGCAAGAGTTTTGAAGAATGTAAAGAGGAACTAAGTAAACCTTTGGCTAATCTTTTCAACATATCACTGCAAACTGGCATAGTGCCAGATAAGTGGAAAATGACAAATGTAATATCTATTTACAAGGCAGGTGACAGGTCCTTAGCTTCTAACTATAGACCAGTAAGCCTTACCTCCATAGTGTGAAAATTTATGGAATTATTAATTGCCAAGGCAGTTCATAGCCATCTTGAAAGGCATAAATTGATTATTGAATCTCAACATGGTTTTACAATGGGGCGTTCCTGTCTTACGAGTTTACTAACTTTTTTCACTAAGGTATTTGAGGAGGTAGATCATGGTATTGAATATGATATTGTGTATATGGACTTCAGTAAGGCTTTCGATACAGTTCCACATCTGAGGCTATTAAGGAGACTTAAGGCACACGGATTAGGAGAAATTTTTTCCTGGGTAGAGGCATGG